ATTAAATTAGGGGTGGGCATTTTACATAGTAAAGACACTACTTGAGACACCCACATCCCATATCAGTTCTGCCTGGGTTAGAATCCTGGGCCCAGTACCCATTCCTATTTCCTGTTCATGCACACTCTAGGAGGCAGTAGGTGATGATGGTTCAAGTAATTGGGTCTCTGACATCCAAGGGGTAGACCTGGATTGAGTTCCAGGCTCCTGGCTTCATTTTGGCCCAGGCTTAGCTGTTGTGGGCATCTGCAGAGTGAAGCAGAGGACATAAAATCTTTGTCTCTCTTTCAAATAATTTTTTAAAAAATCAAAGAATCAAAGACACTAACAAACTTTTTCTTGTTAATAACCTCCAACCAAAAACCAGAAGAAATACCACTCCAGCTGAACAAGTTGTATTAAGGGATGCACTGAGAACACACACCACGGGAAACCTCAGTAAGGTGTTAGAAAAGACTCACATGATTGGGGCTTATGCTGGGTGACCTGGGATAATACTTAAGAAATCAGAACTTTGTTCAGGATTGAATGCTACCAGGAAGCAAGGGTAATTCTGTCATTGGAGACCTTAACAAACCTTACCTACAGTGTGATGCTTAAGCTGTAACTGGTAAAGCTGCAGTTGTCAAACACATCAGCTGGGAAAATACATGTCTGGTATTTCATAGCCTGGACAACGCTCATGTTTTGTCTGTTTGGTGACCCATTATAGAGTAGCCTTCACTTGATGCTGATATTGTTTCTGCACCAATGTTTATCTTCAACTGAACACCAACTTATTGTCAATGCCAAACCACTTCCTAGCAACACCAAGGCCAACTTCTAACTATCCTGCAGTTTTCTTTCTCACCCCTAAAAGTATGTAACATGAAACATGACTAAACAAGGAAACTGTTCATGAATTAGTGAATAAGACTGCATTGATGGTTACAGCCTATGTACGATGGAATATTTATAATGTAAACATTGTTACAAGAAAAATCAGTGGAAACCTAAATAGGATTATTTATCTTTCTGAAACTCTATAATGTAAAATCACAACATTTTTCAGGACATTACCACCAGGTATTTTCCCCCAACAGCTGTATACACAGATAATAGATTATAACTGAAAGACCTGGATTTGAAAACCATCTTCATCACTAATTGCCTATGTCATTGACCTCTAATATGTCTGTTAACCTCTTTCTATGCCTGATTCCTCATCTATAAAGTGGAAATACTGTCTACTCCAGAGTTAAAATGTATATAAAATGTATAAAATAGAACCTGATACCTAGAAACTAACAAATCAGGTATGTTACTAATTATTGTGTTTTCATAATCTTTTCTATATATATTCATCTTTAAGAAGAAAATCTTCAAACTTAAAGTATGCTAAGATTTAAATCACCAATACTCAACTCTTTTTTTTTTAAAGATTTATTTTATTTATTTTAATGGCAAAGTTACAGAGGGAGAGAGGGGGGAGAAAGAGAAAAGAGAAATAAAGAGAAAAGAGAGAAAGAGATATCGATCTTCCATCCACTGATTTACTCCCCAAATAGTCACAACAGCCAGGGCTGAGCCAGACTGAAGCCAGGAGCCAAGAGCTTCCTCAGGGTCTCCCACATGGGTACAGGAGCACAAGCACTCGGGCCATCTTCCACTGGTTTTTCCAGGCCCCAAAAATTGACTCTTGATTATAACAATGAACTACCAACATCTCCTGGGGCCCTTTACATTTACCATATATTTAGAAATATGAGCAGACCACAACATACCCATTCTACAAATCCAGATAATAGAAAGAACCTAAAAATACTGAGTGATTCTGTCTCAAATTTTATAAATCACAAAGAAAGGCGGAAATGTTGCTCCTATCCTTTTATCTCTCAAAGAATGGAATGTAAATTTCCTCTCCACTACAGAAGCATGAAAAGGAAAAGGACTCCCCTCTCAAAGCAGGAGAATCTATGCTAGATTCTTGAAGGATAAAGAGTAAAAGATGACCTTTGCCCTCAAACCTAGCTAGAATGGGTTTTAGGGTTTGAATGTGAGAAAAACCAAACAAATTTGACTGTCTGGAACTCAGAATAGAACCTAGGAAGGATATAGAGATTTAACAGTGATTAAAATAGTCATTAAGGGGGGCAGACCTTTGGTGTAGCAGTTAAAGAGTTGCTTGAAACAGCTGCATCCCATATCTGGGTTCAAAGTCCCAGCTCCTCTTCCAATTCCAATTTCCTGCTAACACACACCATGGCAGCAGTCAATGGCTCAAGGAGTTGAGTTCTTGCCACCAACATGGAAGACACAGATTGAGTCCCAGGCACCTGGCTTTGACCTGGCTCAGCCCCAGCTATTGTAGGTATTTGGAGATTTAACCAACAGGTGGAAGTATGTGTGTTCACACAACTTTCAAATAAAAATAAATTTTTAAAAAATCATTAAAATTGTGAGAGAAGTTGTCTGGAAAAAAGTACCCTAGAATAGAATGGAAAAAAAAGAAAAAACTCAGATAGATAATATACAGGGAGGAACCTATGATCTTTCAAGCTTTAGAAGACAGGGAAGGAGGAATGAGATAACCAGCACAAAGTTTCTGATATCCATCCATATGAGCAACCAGTTTCCATGGGTATATCCAAATGTCGACAAATATCCCAAGTGCTGCTAAGAAGTAAACACTGTGTTGCTGAGCGAAGAAAGAGGTTGGAAGACAGGATAAAAAGAGTGCATAAAGAAATAAAATTTTGAAGTCTTTTAGCAGCTATTAATTAATGCCCATGAGGGATGCTGGGAAGATATAAAAATTTTTTAAATGTCTGTAACTCAGAACATCCATGACAGACACAAAGATTTATCAGTGATTAAAATAATCAGTAAGGGGTGGACAACTGGCATAGCAGTTAAAACCCTGCTTGCATCCCCTATGGGAAAACCTCAGTCCAAGTTCTAGCTCCACTCCAACTGCAGCTTCCTGCTAATGCACACCCTGAGAGGCAGCAGGTGATAGTATGGAAAATAGCCCGGTCTCTGCCACTCCTGTGGGAGACTGAGCACCAAACTCCCTGCCACTATGGACATCCAGTGATTGGGAGAAGGAACACTTCCCTGATTCAATCTCCCCCTCAACTAAACTTTAAGAAAAAAATGTAGTTAATGGAGACTCAGAGCAACAGTACACAAGAATACATTAGATGGCTTTCAGGTTACGTCAAATTGCCAACACACTGATTCAAACACCTTTGTCTACCACTCAGGAAGGTGTTAAAAGAATAATCTGAAATTTGTTCAAATACATAAGTAGTTAAGTAATATTTGTCTGAAAACTTCATTTGGGGAAAAAAAAATCCTTCACTGAAAGTACCCTGTTTCAGTTTCTTTTGTCTAAATACAGCCACTCCTCCTGTAAGATTATTGGTGCTGCAAAAAATCCAAAACTTCACCCATGTGGAGTATTTCCACAAATATTTGAAGAGAAAGCAAAATAATTTTCTAAAGAAATAGAAAGATTCAGAGAAAAGAAGGCATTTTGCAGGCTTCTGTGGGATTCCTTTTCGCTTGTCAAGACAAACCAGTCTTTCCTATAAAACAGAACCTCTCAAAGGGTAACTGGCATGAATAAACTCATACTGGTTGCTTGTAGGTCCTTGCACCTTTCAAGGTGTAAAGAAAGTGGTGGCTCACTTCGGAAGCCTTCCCTAAAACCCTAGTTAAGCTTCTTACTTCTATAATCTCGAGAGCCAGCCTCTCTCAAACGACGAAGATTCCTAACATCAACTCAAAACTGGTTTTAAATTCCAAATAATAATCCTAAAATGAAGGCAGTTAAAAAGAAAAAGTTCAAGCTCCAGGGACCAGGCAGGCGCAGGTGGGAAACAGGGTAACAGCACTGACCTCACAGGCCTATGAAGATTAAACAATTCCACCTGCAAAGCAAATCACTGCGAACAATGCTTTGGCGTACAAGCACTCCTAGGTTAAACATTCCCCAGCACCGTGGAGGAGGAAAGGCGCTCCGGGAGGCTTAGCAGAGCAGCCGGGGCCCCGCCATCGGGGAGGGAAGGCTCAGGGGAGCCGAGGCACCGCTTCCCTCCGGGCGCTCGGGACTTCCGACCCTTTGGGAAGCGTCAAGGCGTTGTCAGGCAACCGGCTCCCAACAGCACCCGAGGAGGCAGGGGCGACCGCAGAGGCGAGCGACTCCAGACTCACCAACGCACCGCCCCCGGGCTGGGGAACTGCGAGGCCCCCAGCCACAAGGAACTGCCATCCCTGCACCCCAGCCACCGCCCCGGACCGGCTGCCGCGAGACCCCGCTGGCAGGGAACCCTCACCTCCAACCCGTGTAACCTCCTTACCGCCGCCAGCTCGACTACCTACCTGCCTCCCCCGTCCCGCTCCGCAGGCCCGAGACGAGCCCCTCGCCCGGCAAGAACCCCCTCACCGCCCGGCCCCTGTAACTCGGGCACCGCTGCCGGCCGGGTCGCCGCCAGCCCCTCGCCCCAGGTCCGCGAATCCAGCCCGGACACCCTCACCTCCACCTCACCCTAGGCCTCACCCTGCCGTGCCTGCTCCCCACCTGCGGTCAGCTGACTCAGACCAGCAGGCTCGCGTCTTGGGAGACGCACAGCGTCCTACTAAGGTTCTTAGCGGTTCCCAGAGGTGGCCGCGGCCTCCCGGCGCGCGAACACTGTCACAGTCAAGCCGGCCGGGACTCCGCCTCTCAAGCTGGGCCCTCTGCCCGCCTCTCGCCAACGGCCAGGCGCAGCCCCGCCTCCAGAGCGGCCGCTTAAGAGGACCGCGCGACCGAGGGCGCCCCCTGCCTTCCCGGAGGACGCACAGCCACCCACCTGCGCCCAGGGTTTTGTTAAACCTTGGGAGTCGCTTCCCAGGTTGAATTAATTCCTGCCTTCCAACCCACCACTCCGCGGTCGATCCGAGGACAGCCTGAGTCTGAGGTCCGGGAAGGTAGAGGCAGTAAGAAGAATACCAATGGCACACTCTCCTAAGCCAGGAGTCTGGTCAGCGCAAGTCCCGGGCTTTCAATACCATTTTCAACGTGTAATTCAATTCACACCAATACTAAGTAATCAAATGCTCCCACTGAAAAAGATTTTTTGACTTCGCAAGAAACTAAGAATGCTAATGTCTCCTAGGGGCCCTAATTTATCCTTACTTTGCAAGTCGACTTTAAAGGCAAATTTTAAGCTGAAAATGTCAAAACCGCAGACTGTGGTGTGGATTCCATAACCCTAATTTTCTATTTGTTCTATCGATCTGCCACGCACCATACTAGGAGTGGAGGATTCAAGGCAGTGCGAGGTATCCTGAACTCTGAAAAAAAGAAACCTCCATGTAAACCGATACTCGTACATAATTACAACACAATGCGAGTTAAGAAGTACCTGTCTTATAGACTTGGAGACACCGTGGAAGAAATGGTCCTGGAGAGTGAAGACAGACCTCAGAACTGTGCTTTCAGATTAATATGAGCTCGCAGGCAGAAAAGCCAGGGAAGCGCGTGTTAATCAAGCAACGCTGACCACATCCGAGTACTGTTGTGCTAAGTCCAAGTGTGGGGAATGGCACTACTGGAATGAAAGGTTTCAAGGGGGAACTGAAGAGAGATGGAACTGGAGAGGTGCGTAGGGACTAGGTTATGAAGAGCTGCGATGTTTTCTTTTTTTCCAGCAAAAAGATTTTTATCCCTAACACCCAGGTGTTAGAAATAAAACAAAGAGCACAGAACTGGTCCCTGCGTCTTTAAACGCAGAATCTAGTGCGGACGGAGAAGAGAGGGAAAAACACGTAAACCAAACACAGGAAACAAACATAGTATCAACGGGAGGCAACAAAAAGGTTGCTGAGATTAACTCCGTCCAGGCTATTAAGCGCTGCAGACTTAACTCATGAGAACTGAGTATTGGACATTTGCATCACTAACAGCTCATAATAAATGTAGGGACATGAAACGTCTACGTCACAGGATAAAACCGTAACAATTCACTCGCTTTCGCCGCCTCCCGCGAGCGCTAGAAAACGCCCACCTGAAATCCACGAGCCCGCAGTTCTACGCATGTGTACAGGGTCACTTGGAAGCAAAACAGGATGTCATATTTATCTTCCTCGCAGCCAAAATCCAGTACTTACATTTAAATTTCTCCAGACATCCTTTTTATTTTTTTCCTAGTCTTTCAAGAAACTTTCCATCTAAGAAAGCTACACCCACACAAAAACACTTTCCTCTGCCCAACTTGCAGCTCCGCCCACATTTAATATGGCGGAAAATGCGCCTGCGCAGTACTAACTAAGAGGCCACGGCAGTTTCTGGCATAACGTTAACGTGCCCTTCTTCCGTTGTGAAAGGCTATACCATTCCCATAGCAAATGATTGTGTTTGCCCTATTTCATAGATACAGTTTTCCAAGACGATATGTTCTCATTTAACCCACATTAATATTCCCCTTGCCACAGCTGTTACACTAACTACCGATTTATCGTCGCTTCTCCTAACAGCCCCCTCCATCCCCGAATGGTCCGTACCAACTTCACCTCCGGTTCTAGGTGTCATGGCTGCCTCGAGAGTCTAGGAAGAGTTTGCACCTGTGGTGGGAAGGGTCCAAAACCCACACCCAGGAAGCTAGAAAAGTAAAGTTGCGTCTCGGCCGTAGAAGCGAAAGCTTCTCTGATTCCTCGGCGATGGCGGCGTCCGGGAGCGGTATGGCCCAGAAAACCTGGGAATTGGCCAACAACATGCAGGAAGCCCAGAGCATCGATGAAATCTACAAATACGACAAAAAACAGCAGCAAGAAATCCTGGCGGCGAAGCCCTGGACTAAGGAGTGAGGAGGTCCCTGGAGACTCGCAGGGGAGGGACGGGGTGGTTAGAGTTTGAGAGACCCGAGGGTGGGGGAGTGGGAATTGGAGTGGGTGGACGGCTTGGCTTTTCATGGTCCAGGAGAGATTATGCACCTGAAACAGAATTTGATCTACCTTCATCCCCGCACGTGTAGTGTATGCTCCTCCGCTGAGGCCTGCTTTGCCCGTTCTGTCTGTTAACTCTTTTGCCTCTGGAGGATGTAAGGGATGAACAGCAAGCAGAGATTTAGGTTATCACTTTTCAACATCCTGATTATTATATCTGCCAGTATCTGCTTTGAACCCTGTGTGGACTACACCTTGTTGGGGCCTTCAGCTGGTCCCTGACGGGAACCGCAGCTCTTTTCAGAAATTGAGTCAGCAGCTCACCTGTCTTGCAGATAGCTGTGAGCCATCTTTTTAGAGATCTGTAGTAGTTCTTTGATTGCTGGTAATTATTTCAGAGGCACAGTCAGCCTCTAACCAATTTCTAAAATATTACTCCACCAGTGTCACCTAAGTCTGAGATTAAAAAATAGACGTTAAGGCTCTTACCCCTTAGCAAAATTCATGCATCCCTGGGAGTGATGACAAGTCAAGGATTATTAATCCATAACATTTATCCTTTACCAAAAGAAGACTTTTGTTGGGGAAAGAGTAAAAAGAGAGTAAAAGAAAACTGTTTAATAGATACAAAGGAGAGCTGTGGCAAGCCCAGGACATACTTCCTGCCACACCGTCTTTTACAAGCCTAGCTTTAACTGTCAGTTAGGTGCAGCAGTGTTTACTGATAACTCAACATGGGCCAAACACTGAGTTAGGGATCTGCATTTGTCATTTTAATCATCATGACAACCCAGTACTGTACTTTCATTCGTTTTTTCAAGTAAGGAAACAAGCAAATACCTCATGATCACATTGAGGCATTGTAATAGGAGCACAATAACAGTTATCTTTTTTCTTTTCCCGTTAGAACACAATTTTAATTTGTATCTTAACTTCCAACACCAAGCCTCTGTGTTTTTCAGCTTGTGAAATCTGGCAAAGGTTGGGAATTAAGTTTCTGTGCTTTTCTCTGGGCAAACATTTAGCTCAGAAACACCAACTAACCACTCTGTACAGCGTACAGGCTGGTTAGGTTGCCTGGTTGTCGACTTCTATAGCAGCTGTACATTTTAGGTTGACGTCCTCTGTTAGATATTTGGAAGCCATCACTTTGTTACACTGTCTCACAGTAGTTCTAATTATATCCCTCCTAGCTGTCTTGGGCTGCATCAGTCAGACCAAAATATAGTTTTACTTAAAAGTTGACTCACAGCCACCACTGACAAATTCAAGAACAGTGATCATGGGACAGCTAAGGATATTAGAGACACTTTTTAATTTTGAGGCTGATATTACAGAGGAAAGCCACATCTTTCAAAATATTGTTGTTTCAGAGTACTGAGAATACTGTAACAGAAATTAATAATGCTAAAAACAGATAGCATTATTAAGGTTTTACTTTGGATCAGACACTAAAGCTAGGCACTTTATTATTTCATTCATTTTATTTCATCCTAACGACTCTGAACTAGTCCCGCTTACCCTAAGGAATGTAATGTGAGACACGCAGACATTAAGAGGTTGTCCTAATGTCACAGCTGAGGAATGGCAGTGCAAGAGTCAAACATAGGCAGATAGATGTCAGAGCCCACATTCTTTTAACCATTAGACCAAAAGGTTAGGCCTAAGAATAGTTAAACACAGCCATCCATCCAGTATTAGAATCAGATATTTGATCATTGCAAATCAACAGAGGAAAAGTCTCTTGAACTCATTGTTACTTCCACATTTGAATAGCATGTTAAAAGAGAGAGAGGACTGTTTCAGACCCTTCCTTTCCCCAGGGGGGAATATTTTGCAGGAGTATGACATGTTTGTTATCTCCATACCCATGCAGGTCGTCTGTCCTTTACTACTACTTCCCACATTCTACACAGCCCTTATATCAATTTAAATTCTCTCAGTAACTTATTTTAAAAAAAAAAGTCTTTGGATATTTTATTTCAAATAAGAAATATAATTACATTGTGATTTTATTTTGTAGTCATCATTACTTTAAGTACTGCAAAATCTCAGCATTGGCTCTACTGAAAATGGTGATGCATGCCAGATCAGGAGGCAACTTGGAGGTGATGGGCTTGATGCTAGGAAAGGTGGACGGTGAAACCATGATCATTATGGACAGTTTTGCTTTGCCTGTAGAGGGCACTGAAACCCGAGTAAATGCTCAAGCTGCAGCGTATGAGTACATGGCTGCATACATAGAAAACGCCAAACAGGTAAAAATCTTGTTTATTAAACTGTGGTAACAAAAAAAATCTTGTTTATTAAACTGTGTTAGAGTCTCAAGGTAACTTTTGAGATTCTGAAGTTAAGGCTATCCTCTCAAGGTTAAATTTTCTATTTTAAATTGGATATGTGTGTAAAATATATGGGATCATAAGCCTTGTAAGACCATGGGCTTTTTAATTTCCCAAGGTTCACACTCATTATCAGATTTGTGCTTAAAATGAGAAGTTTGGGAACAAGCTAAGTGTTTCTGAGTATAAAACCAGTTAAATAAATTATGGTATAGTCATTAGAGGACTGCCAGGCAGCCGTTAAAAAATAAAAGATAGCTACCTATATATATTTACTTATCTGGAGCATAATCCAGAATAGTTTATTGAATGAAAAAGCAAAGTGTAAAACACCGTGCGTTGTACTAGTGTGTGTGTGTGTGTGTGTGTGTGTCCACCTACATGTATTTTAAGAACATCTGGTAGGTAGGTAAGTAACTGGTTGTCACTATAGCTTCTGGGCTGAGAAACTGGATAGCTGCGGGGAAAAAATGGGAAGAAGATGGAATACTTTTCCATGGTTTCTACATGCATTTTTAAAACCTTTTATTAAACTTTATTAAATAGTGTATGCTATTAACTCCTGTGCATGCTGTTAGTTTACCATAATGCTATGGAAACAGACTAATGACAACAGGAACCTCAAACTCTACCACCCTCTTCATTTGCAGGTCGGCCGCCTTGAAAATGCAATTGGCTGGTATCATAGCCACCCAGGCTATGGCTGCTGGCTTTCTGGGATCGATGTTAGTACTCAGATGCTCAATCAGCAGTTTCAGGAACCATTTGTAGCAGTGGTAGTAAGTATCTTCACAACCAGTTTTAATCATAAGTTCTCCATGAAAATTTACTAAAGCAAGTATACTGAGAACTAAAAACAGTGTGATAAAGAGCAAAGTTCTGTTTTCACTCTGCCTCAATTTAAATCTAAATTCCACCTCTTTTAAGCCAGAACATTGAGCAACTTACTAACCTCTCTGCATCTTACTCCTGGCTTCCCTTTATAAAATGAAGGTAATCCTAGCACTGTCTCTCAGGGCATTCAGTCTGTGTTGACTAAAGTGAGTAAGTAGGAACTGCTAAAGTGGCTGTTGGGACATTAAAGTATTTTAGATGCTATCCAGATTTCAATGAGGAAGGTAGAGAGTATTCATCTATTAAAGGGAAAAAAAGAAAACATTTTACAAAGATGAGCCAATCCTCAAAGAATATTCTTAAAAATATAATAACAAAGTCTAATCTCTAAATTTAAGCTGTGAGACAAATTTGCATGTAACCATTCTATTGAACATGGTGGCATTTTGGCTTGGCAATTTTTTGTAAGTATTACTTGGTTATCATTGTGTGTGTGTGTGGCGTTATATGGGGGTACTTCAAAAAGAGTTTATAAGGTCCGGTGCTGTGGCATAGCGGGTATCCCGTATGGGATATGCCATATGTGGCACATATGTGGCAGTGCTGGCATCTTATATGGGCGCTGGTTTGGGTCCTGGCTGCTGCATTTCTGATCCATCTCTCTGCTAGGGCCTGGGAAAGCAGTAGAGGATGGCCCAAATCCTTGGGCCCTTGCAACCACGTGGGAGACCTGGAAGAAGCTTCTGGCTTCAGATTGGCCCAGCTTTGGCCGTAACAGCCATTTGGGGAGTGAACCAGTGAATAGAAGACCTCTTCCTTTCTCTCTATCTCTCTCTGCCTCTCTTTTACTCTGCCTTTCAAATAAATAAATTGATCTTTAAAAAAAAAAAGTTCATAAAAAATGGCATTAAAAGATGTTTATTTTAGTGAAAACAATTTTGAAATCTATTCATAGTTTTCTTATAATATGTACCTTCCTGTGAATTTTTTGAAGGCCCTGCGTATGTATTTCTGGGTTTATAATATTTAAATGAATGGAAGCATATAATGGTTTTATGTCCTCAGATATTAAATATACCTTTCCTTTAGATTGATCCAACAAGAACGATATCTGCAGGAAAAGTGAATCTTGGCGCCTTTAGAACATACCCAAAGGTAATTTTTAAAATTACAAGATTTTAAAATTTTTAAAATTCCAGATATTTGACTTTTTTTAAAAGATAATCATGTTCTGATTAGTATTTCTTTTTGTCCTAAAACATGTTCATAATATTTACAAAATAGTAAAACTACTATAAACTACCTTTAGCAAAAGATAATGCATTTATCTCCTGGATTGTTAATTTTACCAGAAAAACAGTCTTTGTTTACTAGTAAGTTTTGTTTCCCCATAGCATTTTAACAGGTACTAGAGAAACAACAAGCTAAATAGATCCACTTACTTCCCTGCAAGCAGCCTGCAATCTGAAATTAGCACAAGTGTATATCACCTAAGGACAAGAAAAATTAATCTTTGAGCCAATTCCTTGATCTAGTCACCAAATGGGGTTGGAGGAGATAGAGGCAATATACTATTAGAATGTTTAGGTTGAATATTTGGCTCACCAAAATTAATGCTCCTACAAATAGAAAGCTGCATAGAAAAATGTTTTTCTTATTTTGTTGTCTTTATAATCTTTTGGTGTTGTTTAGGGCTATAAACCTCCTGACGAAGGACCTTCTGAGTACCAGACTATCCCACTTAACAAAATAGAAGACTTCGGTGTACACTGCAAACAGTAAGCAATTCAAAGCATATATCTGATAACAGCAATCATCAGAAAAACCCTTAGAGATCGGATCAAAGTCCCTTATTTTACAGATGAGAAAAAAGCTCAGACAAAATGCATTTCATAAAATTTTTAACCTGATAGTAAAAATATATGAATTTAGAATATTCAATATTTTTTTATTACTGATTCTTTTGATCTTGCCTAGAATTTGTCTTTGAAACAGCCATAAACATTTTCTCAATGTATAAGATACTTAGCCCATAAAATGAGCGATTCAGAGATGTTGTATTCAGGGCCAGCCTGACACTAACATGTCTGCAGCCTTTAGAATACTGAATTTCTACCTAACAAAAATTGTTTTGTTTTGTTTTAAGATTTATTTTATTTATTTGAAAGAGTTACAGAGAGGGAGAGACAGAGATCTTCCATGCACCGGTTTACTCCCCAGATGGCCACAGCAAGTCAAGGCTGTGCCAGAGCAAAGCCAGGAGCCTGGAGTCTCACCCAGATCTCCCACATGGGTAGCAGGGGTCCAAGTATTTGGTCCATCTTCTGCTGCTTTTCCCAGACCAATAGCAGGGAGCTGGATCGGGAGTGGCAGCCATTTGGGGAGTGAACCTGCAGATGGATGATCTCTCTCTATATCTCTACCTCTTCCTCTGTAACTCAAATAAACAAATCTAGTAAAACAAAACAAAGCTTTACTTAATTTTGATTATCTTCAATTTCTTACAACTTTTATTTCTTCACTGCTAAACTTTAATCAACTTTTTTTTTATCATGCCCATATGACTTTATCTTCTGCACTGAACCTTTCTCTTCCCAGCTTACCTGCTGCAATGGCTTCCTTTGTGGTTATTCCTGCCTCCAAAGTTTTGGTACTGCCACAGCCAGCTTTCTAAAACAGCCCTTTGGCTGTGTTATTGCTCTGCCCAAACACCCTCCTTGAATACAGGTACCTAGAGGGTAAAATTTAAATTGCTTAGTCATTTATCTGATGTCCTCCACCAACTGGACCCCAGCATAGCTTTCTAGGTTTCCCTCACATAATTCTTCTGCTTTTTCTAAATTGTCTAGCCAGACTGACTTATTATCCCATATGTGTCCTACCTTTTCATGTGTTGAGGCATTCTGCTTAATACCCTCCTTGCTGGCAACATATGCACCCCACAGAATCATCTAGTGATTACCCTAAATCTTGCCTTTTCCCTGTGCTTTTCAGGCAGTTCTAGCTTCAAATGACCACTATCTATCCTGTACTCTAAGAGTACTCATTATCTCTTACACTTAATTGATTCATTTCAATTAAATATGCACTGTAGCATCACTTATACCAGTAAGTATTCAGTGTATATAACTATATTTTAACTTATTATGAATTCATATCACATCCCTCATATAAATGGTAAGTCCCTCAAGGTAAAATAGTCTAGTGCTTCTTTGTATCCACTGATATACAAAACCTCTGAGATATTTAAATATTGTTATCTTAAAAAGAATCAGTTTTTCAAACATGTAGCCAAATTGTCCTTGCTCTACACCCTTATTATAAATAAGGCACTTTTAGAAGTGCAAACTTCTTTTAGGCACCTTAAAGACATACTTTAGAATTTACTTTTTTGAAAAAATAAAGAGGACTCTCTGTAAGGGTATCTGGAGGGAAGTTGCAACAAAACAGTAGCTACAGTTGCCACAGTTGTATCTTCTGCTTCACCATGTTTCCTTTGGTCAGAAATGCACTAAGTCCTCTCCAAGTTCAAAGCATTCAGCAAACAATGACAATGAAGAGCCACCAAAGACGTACACTTGATTTTCATAACAAATGTGGTAATGCTGTATTAGCTGGTAGAGCCACATTCTGTAATGTTATATAGAGATATACAGCAACACAGATTGGAATAGAATGGAACCTGTCTCCTGTTGGCAGTCACTCCACAGGAATGGAGAGATCAGTAATTATCCCAGTTGGTGTGATACTGAATAGTCTCAAAACCAACTCATAACTGAAGCCAAATAAAAGCACTGTACCTATTACAATACTGCATTGTTGAAGAAATAAAATATATTTGAAATCTTCAAAAATAAAAAAATAGGCAGTAAGTCCTAACTAGAGAATTAGAAAAGGGAATCCACATGTCATTTTCAGTATTTTTTGAACATTAACAAAAATTACAGCTGACCCTAGATAGTTAATTTAATATGTGTTATTAGCTGGAATTCATGAACTCAATAAAATGAATAAACATGTTATTTCAAAGTTCTGATTGGTTGTTAATAACTTATTGGAAGTTTTGGGCTTTACAGAAGGAAAACAATATAACTTAGACAAGACTTGAAAGCACAGCCCCTGAAGAATAAGGAAATCATAGTTACTTGAACTAAAAACTGAAACATGACTATTTAAATATAAAATATAGTTTGCTTAAGTTTGGCCATAACTTTTATATGATACAGCTGAACTTCTTTTCAATTACTAAATTTGTCCTTTTGTTTAATAGATATTATGCCTTAGAAGTCTCATATTTCAAATCCTCTTTGGATCGCAAATTGCTTGAGCTTCTGTGGAATAAATACTGGGTGAATACGCTGAGTTCCTCCAGTTTGCTTACTGTAAGTATTATACTTGCAAGAAATGCATGTGAATTTTACCTGAACTACATTAATTGTTTAATATCTGAAACCCAGTTTCACAAGAAAGGTAGTACCTGACTTGGCCAAAATACCAAGACTCTGTACCACCAAGGCTGAATCCGGATACAAGACCAATTCAAGGTCTGTGTCATATGCCAGAGATACCAAGTCTAATTGGCAAATAGAGTGGCCAGACCAGGATGAGACCTGCCACTGCCTTAAAAAGACCTCTAGGGGAAAAAAGACACAAATTTTCCAGGTATCTCAGACACGACTATGGTCACAAGTGGCAGCATATCAAAAGAAATTAGTTTAAACAAGAAAGGGAATCTTATAAGTTACAAGATCTAGAGGTACAGCTTAACTCAGGCACAGCTAAGTTTGCATTTAAGCAATATTGTAAAGTCTTAGTTTTTCTCTCTCAACATTGATTTCATCTCAGTCAGCTACAATTTCAGTCTTTTTTTTTTTTTTTTGAAGATTTATTTATTTATTTGAAAGTTAGAATTACACACAGAGAGAGAGAGAGAGAGAGAGAGAGAGAGGTCTTCCATCCAGTGGTTCACTCCCCAGATGGCCACAATGGCCGGAGCTGCTCTGATCTGAAGCCAGGAGCCAGAAGCTTCTTCCGAGTCTCCCATTTGGGTGAACAGGCCCATGGACTTGGTCCATCTTCTGCTTTCCCAGGCCATAGCAGAGAGCTGGATCAGAAGAGCAGCAGCCGGGGCCTAGAACCCAGCGGCCCATATGGGGAGCCGGTGCTTCCAGGGCCAGGGGGGTTAACGCACTGCACCACAGCGCCGGCCCCAATTTCAGTCTTAACATAAAAGCATGTTTACGGCCGGCGCCGCGGCTCACTAGGCTAATCCTCCGCCTAGCGGCGCCGGCACACCGGGTTCTAGTCCCGGTCGGGGCGCCGGATTCTGTCCCGGTTGCCCCTCTTCCAGCCCAGCCCTCTGCTGTGGCCAGGGAGTGCAGTGGAGGATGGCCCAGGTGCTTGGGCCCTGCACCCCATGGGAGACCAGGAAAAGCACCTGGCTCCTGGCTCCTGCCATCGGATCAGCGCGGTGCGCCGGCCGCAGCGCGCCGGCCGCGGCGGCCATTGGAGGGTGAACCAACGGCAAAGGAAGACCTTTCTCTCTGTCTCTCTCTCTCACTGTCCACTCTGCCTGTAAAAAAAAAAAAAAAAAAAAAAAAAAAGCATGTTTATAAAATAAACATAAAAAGGCAGCTTTAACTTCAGACCTTAGTTTCAGCTTCGAAAGAAAACACACACAAATACACACACTGAAGCATGTACATATCCCAGCATATTTCTAGGCAAACCTTATGGTATCTCACTGGGTGGCCATTCTTAGACCTGCTGTTGGCCCAAGGGAATGAGTTTATTGAGTGACTGGGTCAGAACAAATGCTTTGCTGCTGGGCTGGGGGGAAACAGCTCCTTCAGGAGTACAGAGACTAATAAGGGGGGAGCAGAGGTCTCAGAGGATAATCAGATGGTCATTATCTTAAAGCAACAGATTCTTCACAGCCAAAGAAAAAGGATATTCACTGAATATGTTCTGGTAAATGATTAAATGTAAAATATTTATTTAACATTCAATTATTATATTAATTATTAAATGTAAGGACATTTACTTAACAACATTCTCCATATTTAGAACTTAGGAACAGCTTTTTTAAAAGTAGGCCACTCCATATACTGCAGTATACATAGTGATTAGTACCATGGGATTTGAAATAAATCAGATTTGAAAAGAATGCTGCCACTTCACTGGCTCTGAGTGATGTTTGGAAACTTATTTAATGTGAGTGAGCCTTTTCTGTATATAAAATAATAACATCATTAAGTATACTGAGAAAATTAAATGAAATACTTGATATAAAGCAATTAGCAAAGTGCCTGGCATATAATAAGCCTCAATAAATGACTATTATTATTTTTGTTTGGTGCATTGCATTCTTGAAAGAAAACCTCAATTGAGCCTATTTTTTATAATTTTAAACACAATTCTGACAAGTTTTTTGTTCTTATTTCTTAATCCTCGGTGGTCAGAAGTAGCAGATTAGAAGGAAGGAAAGCAAACATAATAGCAAACATTTATTAAGTGCCTCCTGTGTGCCAGACACTGCTAAATGCTTTATATGTGTTGTTTCCTTAGAGGCAAGTATACTAATAGCAACCAGAAGTGAGAGCTGATGCAAGGGGAGAAAACACTGTGTAAGACCAGAGCAGTCTGAACCTTTGTATAAAGGCAAGCAGATCTACCTACTCAGCCACACGGCTGTCCCTGTATTCCAGCACTGCATATATGAGGACATTAATAATCAAGAAAAGGTTAAATTACATTTTCTCCCTTTCTGTGATTTTATATACTCATATAGGACACTGCTGCATTTTAAGAAAACGTAAATTATGTTCACTTTCTCTTTCTCCAACTAAAGCAGTTAATTATAGCATAAAACCTAAAAGCTACCAGAGAAAAATTTTTTTAAGAAATTAGTTTCCTGTATTAATTTTCTGGGCATTTGAAATGTGATTGGGTTTATTTTACTGTCAGTTTACTAGTATAACCATTTCTGCTAGCTTACATTTTTATGGGCTCTGTAGCTAATCTTCTGAATGTGGAAAAGTCTGTAAACCTTAGGCTTTTCTCCAAGTCTGTGGGATAAATGTTGATTTCCTAAACCATTTAGATTCATTTAGGCAAAGTAAATATAATTGCATCATTTTAAAATCACCCTAACTTTGAACAATCATTAGGAGATCTGGTAGCATTTTAAAGGGCCTTCTGTGGTAACTTTGATGATAGCTATAAGATTTTGTGTTTGATAGTTAAACTGTATTTCTTGTAAGCTGTCTTTCAAACTGAGCAACTAAAATAGCATGCTGATTTTCGCCAAATGGCTTATTTATCCTCATTCTCTTCTACAAAAGATTAAGAAAAGAAATGTAATATATGCTTTACAACTTTGTAGGTTTTCTTTATATTTTAGACTAAAACTAAAAATGGATATCTTATAACAAACTCTTTAAAGATATTACAGTAATGTAGACATATAACTTTTTTCTTTTTAAAAAGTATGTCATATTATAAAAATACAATATATAATATTCTAGTTTCCCAGATATAGAATGCATGTGAGTGAGGTGAAGGGCTTATAGCTATGTCTATTTTCTTTATATTTTTCTACATTTTCCAAATTTTCTGTAATTTATTAAATTATTTTCTGTAATAATTTATTAAGCAAAACCAAAGGTTATTTTTAAAAATATTATCCTAAGTACAAATTATAAAAGAATAGTAACAAAACTAGCTAACAATTATTAAGCATTTAGTGGGTGCCATGGACCAGCCTAAGAGCTTTCACACATTATTTCATTAATTTTTCACAATAGCCTTAACATAGAAATTGCTCCCTTTTCCCATTTTCTGAAGAGGACCTGCAGGCATGTCCCAAGCCTCCCAACTAATCTGCAGCAGGTTAGGAGCTGGACTTGATATGTGTAGGCCAAGGCCTCTTGTAATAATAATCACCATTAGACCTAGAGTCGAGAAAAATTCCAAATTTAATCTTAAAATTAAAAAGAGAACACATCTACATTGAACCACTTGACAAGTTGAAAAAGTTGAAAGATTTTGCACGTGTAATTTGACTTCTTACTTCAATAATCATCCACTCAGATCTTATAGGAGGATTCTTTGTAAATGAAATGTTCTTTATAGAAGAAAATTAATTTACATTAAAATATATGTGTGTATGTATATATTTTTTTATGTTTTTAATGGTAGACTTGCGTACTAATACAATCTCATCTTCTCCACAGAATGCAGACTATACCACTGGTCAGGTCTTTGATTTGTCTGAAAAGTTAGAGCAGTCAGAAGCCCAGCTGGGACGAGGAAGTTTCATGTTGGGTTTAGAAACACATGACCGAAAATCAGAGGACAAACTTGCCAAAGCCACAAGAGACAGGTAAGAATAAGAATAAGAAAAAGATTCCTTTTACTTTCAATTCTCAAATAATAGTAGGAACCAAATTCCTTACAGTTCAACTTAGTCAGAATAGTATCTGAACATTAAACTTCTTGGGACCTTTAAAAGTTGTCAAATGCAGATTTTAACTCTGAAAATTTAGGAGACATTAGGTCAGAACATTAAAGGCTTAAATCAAAGATGTAGGCAGTGACATGGAATACTCCCAGTCATCTCTTCTAGTTCAGCTACAAAGTCAGAGAAAGAAACTAATCTTCCTTTAGGTCTTCAAATTTAAAAAAAAAATAAAAGCAAGCCTTTGCCAAAATAATCTCTTGGTTTATTGTCATATAAGCATCTGTAGAATTAAATTAAGAGATGTTGAAACTTACCAAATTTCAGGATTTTTTTCATAAAGTCTTAAATCCCAAGATATCATAGGAATGAATGTATCTCTTTTAAATTATGCTTCTGAAATTGTCCTTTATACTGTAATTTGGTACTCTAGATTTTACTAAGGAATTTGTAGAAAACAAACTTAGGATGTTTTCTGCTGGCTTATGAAGTAACTGTGTGGCCCTCAGATACATAGACTGTACAGAGGTGAGAAGACTATCTAAATAACAGTTACTCTCACACTGAATTTGAGTTTAAATGTGATAAGGATAGAAAGGAAGGGAGAACATCTATATAAACTCATACATTGCTGTCTATTTTAAGACAAACTATATTGGTCCATAGGAAAAAGCAAGGAGAAGGTAAAGAGTATCCTGGTTGTGGAAGTCATCTTGAATTAAATTCTGTCTCACCTTCTTCATGGGTTTATAGAAAGTAGAGCTAGTGACCTGGATAAAGATTATACTTTTCTTTGGCATTTGGCCTTATTTTTAGTATTTGCTTTAGTGTAGTGTGTGTTTTTGCTAGTTGTCTTTATATCTGTAATTTGCAGTTTTATCTGCATTTACATTTCAACCTCTAATCAAGCAAACATTTCATTATGAGAATGTCTTCAATTATAATAAGAGAAAAGTAGAAAAGATAAAAGTAATGATGCAAAAGTAGAGAATTTTCCTTTTGGAGATGGCTTTATAAGAATCGCTTCCCTTCTGAATATTGGTGGAGTTTTATCATTATTTCTGCCTTTTTACTTTTTTAAATTTTGTATTTATTTTGAAGTCAGAGAAATACAGATATATGGATAAAGACAGGGAGACAGATCTCCCATCCATTGGTTCACAGCAAGTGCCCACAACAGCCAAGGCTGGACCAGGCAGAAGGCAGGCGCCAAAAGAATTCAATCCAGGTCTCCCATGTAGGTGCCAGGGACTCAACTACTTGAGCCATCACTTGCTGCCCCCCAGAGTATGCATTAACAGGAAGCTGAAAAGGAGAACAGAACTGCAACTCAAACCCAGATGTGGGATGCAGGTGTCCCAAATGGCTGCTTAACTACTCCAGCAAATGTCCATCTCTGATTTTCACTTTTTATCCTTTAAAATCTAAGTACTTTACTCACCTAACTTTGACTTACAATTGTTTGAGTGATATTTATGATTACTAAAAATCAAATGATTCTCTAAAATTATTTTTTAGTATTCTAAATGATAAATGACAAGGAGTAATAGAATTTAATATTGGAATCAAACTATAATTATGGAGTTATGTGTATCTTATGAAGTATATCTAATTTTACATTGTCATTCTACTGTAAAGGTTCTAATAGGCAGTGAAATAGTCAAAACATGCAGAAGGCTAAAAATCAAAAAGGTAAACTTCAAATTGATATGGCTCGGAGAACATGAATAAAACTGAAAATCATTAAAGGGGGGTATAAAGATGGACATTGGGGGAACTTGCATGTTTAAAGCTTTCAGTTTGTGATGTTATGTCATGTATTTTTTCTTTCCAGCTGTAAAACTACCATAGAAGCCATCCATGGATTGATGTCTCAGGTTATTAAGGATAAACTGTTTAATCAAATTAACATCTCTTAAACGGTCACTGAATAGTACTTTTGCCTGAAAGTTAGTATAAGAAAATACTAAAGTAACACTTTAAAACCAGTTACCAAAAATCTGATTAGAAGTAAAAGGTACTGTGAAGTATCCTGTAATAAAACACTTGAAAATTAAATTGTCCTTTCTTGTTTTGTGTGTGGGATTATACTGTTTTTCCAGTATCCTTTATTGTTCTTGCAAATGAGAGAAAAAATATCTACTGGAACATTTCTGCTTTATTAAGAGTCTTGCCTATCTAACTTAGTCATAGAATTTCAGCATTTCACTTGCCACACTGATTATCGGAACCACTGTTTAATGTTGCCTGTACCTTTTTTTGACAGTCAGTTAGTAAGATACATAACATTTTTATGTTCCTGCTGACACATTAGCAAAGTCACACCAAAACCTATTTTTCTGAAAATCAAATAACTTAATAAAAACAAAGCCTAGCACAGGGTATCTGGTCCTTCAAATATTCACTAAGTATCTCCTTAACCAAGCCATTTTACTCTCCAGAGATAGGTTAAACAAGCTAAACATGCTCATTGACTTCACAGAACTTACCATGGATGCCATAGCTAAGTTAACAGGAACTTAACTATACCTCTGAGGAGGGATAAATAAAGTGTGCTAGGGAACTCTAGAGGGGACCACTTATCCCACAGAGGAGTTAGCAAGGTAGGCCCTCCTGAAGGCGGTCACCTGACCATTAACATAAAATTTGAAAGCTAAATTACTGTTATAGGCAGAGAGTACAGAAATATGTGGAAGGTCAGAGGTAGAAAGCAAGAACCTAGAGCCTTCAAAGAAATGAGACTCAGTAAAATGAGATGATTGAGTAGGACTTGGGGAATGACAAGACTTAAAACACAGGATGAAAGTAGATCCTGAAGCAGCCTTTTAGAGTTTATCTTAACAACAATGGAGATGTTGAAATAATTTTAAACATGTACTAGATTGCTTTCTCTAAGAGCAGATTGTTAAGAAACTTGGTGGTAAAGGTTCAATGACAGTAGATGAGATATCCTGGCAGGGGTGGGGAACATTTTTTCTGCCAAGGGCCATTTTGATATTTATAACATTATTTGCAAGCCATACAAGATTATCAACTTATAAATTAGCCTTCAAATTCATTGAATTTGAAGTCCTACCTGCTATTGCCTTGGCAGAGCCAGACCAAATGATTTCACAGGCAAGACTTTCCCTACCCCTGTTGCAAAGAATAAAGGATGAGAAGGAAGCTCCAGACTGAATTTTAGAAATAAATTTTAATAGGCAGAGGAAGTGGAGACCACTGAAGCAGAGTAAGAGTCCTTAAAAAAGAACATAGCAGTGACATCACATGCTTCCAAGAGGTCAAGGAAAATAAAACCTAAAGCTTTTCTGGTAGATGGAGCAATAAGGTGGTTAAGATGAAGAAGCATATTAACATTGATATCCAAATACTTTCTTGGATACTTGATGATATTGTAATTTATTGGTCTTGTTTTTTATACCTTTCAGTAAAAAGTAGGTACCCCCCAAATGTCAGATGACTCAATAGGACCTAAAAAAAATAACAGCCCAAAGAATGGCCAAAATCCATAGGTACTGCAATAGTCTCCAGCAATACCAACACCATATTGGGTCATTCTGTTATGAATACTGACAAGCCAGTATAGGTTTCTCTGACGGACTTGGCTGAATGGCTAAGGTTTTGATATGAACAAGTAAGCAATCATTGAAATCACCATGAAAACCTACCAACAATTTTCATTCTTAAGACCCGGATACAGTTGTCCACACTTAATTTATATTGATGACCCTAATCCGTTCAGATATCTTTGTGGTGGAAAATACCTATGCTTTTGACAGAAAATTACCAGGAAAACAGCTTTTCAGGCCTAACTTCATTGGACTCATTTTGAGAAGTTAAAGTGTTTTGATGGGCCGGCGCCATGGCTCAATAGGCTAATCCTCTGCCTTGAGGCGCCAGCACACCGGGTTCTAGTCCCGGTCGGGGCACCGGATTCTGTCCTGGTTGCCCCTCTTCCAGGCCAGCTCTCTGCTGTGGCCAGGGAGTGCAGTGGAGGATGGCCCAAGTGCTTGGGCCCTGCACCCCATGGGAGACCAGGATAAGTACCTGGCTCCTGCCATCGGATCAGCGCGGTGCGCCAGCCACAGCGCACCAGCCGCGGCGGCCATTGGAGGGTGAATCAACGGCAAAAGGAAGACCTTTCTCTCTGTCTCTCTCTCTCACTGTCCACTCTGCCTGTCAAAAAAAAAAAAAAAAATGTTTTGATGATGATATCATGGTTGAAAGTAGCCAAAACAAAAAGTAGTTACTTTAAATGAATTTGTTGGTTCATCTAATTTCAGAGTACAGAATCCTATCTGGCACAGGTTTATTAGACTTCCTGTTATGGTTTTCCCCAAACTGGCTTGACAGCATGCCATCTAGTTTGGGTAGGAACTACTCATCAGTCTCCTATAAATAAGGCAGATTTCACAGTGATTAGTCTCTCATGGGTCATTAGTCCAATCCTGGAATTATATATAGTGACTGATGTAACAGACTGATTAAAATGCAAGACTACTACACAGTGGGTGAAGCAGATTCCGAAGAGACTACCAACAGCGTCCCCTCAGTGAACCATCCAGCACAGGTAAACAGCCCCAGAAACAGCATTTTCATTTTACTTAAAAGGTTGTTAATTTATTAGAAAGTAAAATCTTAGGGGCTGGCACTGTGGCATAGGGGTTAAGCCACTGCCTGTGGTGCCAGCATCCCATAGAGGCACTGGTTCAAGACCCAGCTGCTCCACTTTTGATCCAGCTCTCTGCTATGGCTTGGAAAGGCAGTAGAAGATGGCCCAAGTCCTTGGGCCCCTGCACCCACGTGGGAGATCTGGAAGAAGCTCCTGGCTCCTGGCTCCTGGCTCCTGGCTCCTGGCTCCTGGCTCCTGGGTTCGGATCGGAACAGCTCCAGCTGTTGCAGCCAATGGGGAAGTGAACCAGTGGATGGAAGACTCTGTGCCTCTCCTCCCTGTGTGTAACTTTGACTTTCAAATAAAATAAATAAATCTTTAAAAAAAAAAAAAAGGAAAATCTTTACACATACTTTCTAAAGTATATCTTTAACTTTTGAAAAATTTTAATAAGTTTATAACAAATTCAATATAGTTCATAGATAGAATTCAGAATTCTAAGAATATGATACTCCTTTTCTCCTTCCCACTCTCCCACCCGCCTTCTCTCCCTGACCCTCCCTCCCTCTCTCTGTTTTTGAGATCTTTAATGTATTTTTATGATCACTTTTGGTAGAAGTGCTCCAACTTACAACACTGAGCTATTGGGAAATCAGGGTTCAATTTGCAGCCATCATTCAGAAACTCAAAAGTTGGGGTTGCCTTTTCCTGCAAAGTATTACCTTACAGCCTTGAGCTATTCAGGAGCTGAAAAGAACATAAGTGAGGTCTGCTTTTTGTTCAGTTTCTAACTTTTCAGAGATAATTTCTCAAACATTTTGGTGGTAAAATGCAGGAAATGTCAATCGTCATTTAAAAAGCTTAATCCCAATGTCCAAGTACTAAAAGAAGCCAGAGTAGGACTAGAAGCCAGGATGGAGCAGAAATGGAGAGAGATGTCTATGGAAACAAAAGGAGACTGATGGGGTCCACTTAAGGGGTGCGGCAAGATCCTAGAAACAAGAGTGCTCTAAATTTTGAGGCCCTAGTTCCAACAATTCAACAACATGAACTTTAGAGAGAGAATTCAGAATTTATGCATTTCATGCCATTTTTATGTTATACTATCCAGTTGAATGGGTACTTCAATCTACATGTTTTATCTATTGATCAACACACTACACAAGTTGTCATTTTGAAATCCGTGGTACTACTAAGAACAAAGGTAACAGTGGGAAGAGCAGCCATTTGTGTTCCATTGTTTCTGAATTTGGAAAATAAGCTCTGAGACCAGATGTCACTGGCATTCTTCAAGGGATCGAATCTAAAGATTGCTGTCATAAATTAGTATGACTACTTGGTATTCAGGACTTTGAAAAATCACTTCATTGCCCAATAGAATAATAAACGGCCCAATAGTGCAGCCACTTGAAAATAAACACACAAGACCAGGAGCATAAGTAACTTTACAGTGAATCAGAGACACTGGGTGAGGTGGGTGGGGAGGAGTTGGAGTGTTGCATATTGCAGAGGTTCAGTTTCCAAAACCTGTCCTGTGAGTGATGAGATACAGATGTATAAGTCATGCATGCAGAGAAGAGTTCATTTATATTACTAAGTCTGCACTGTATCCACTTGTAGCTGAATAAACTCAACTGAACACAGACTGTTCAGTTTCCAAAGTTTCCTTATATTTTTCTGGATTGTCTTAACCATAACCTACGACATATATTGGTCAGCAATGTGATTTTGTTTTATTTTGGAGACAGAAAAATACACTGCACAGAATGATGGCTCTTTTTGCCATCCATATAACTAATATAATTATGTTCAAATTATGATGGGGTTATGTCATTCACTTTAATAACTGATGTGTCTAAGTCATAGTGTTTGCAAAATATTAGAAAAATGAAAATTTAGTTGTATTTTCTCTTACTTTGACCTATTCTCACTACAAATTACAATAGCAAATAAATCTACATTCTTGAGGCTGAAACGTGAGTTTAAGAACAAGGAAGTTCTGAGGTAACCAGTCTAAAAGTTTTTAAAGGTTTCTATATCTTTTAACAAAATATTTGTGGAAAAAATACCATTTATCTTTATAAATATAAAGTTATAATTCACTCATTCTAGAAAACTAATTATATGAAACTCAGGTCCACTCTGATTAGATTGGCATGCTTAAACTTTCGATCTCAGGATTCCAAATATTACAAAAATAAAATCAGGAACTCTCATCTTGGGTTCAGACTTAGGAGGAAACAGCTAAAATCATAGCTTGATAACTAACCCCAATGATTAATTGCTTTTTCAACATGTGGATTATCTTGGTGCCAAAAATTATGGAACAATTGCCTAACAAATTGGAGAGTCCCTGATGTCAGTACTCATATTTTTTTTGGATTATACTAAGCAATTATGCTAAACTTTCTAATGATGGAGTGAAATGGTATTGTGCCTTGAGGCA